ATGGGGAGAATAGGCAGGAGGAGGATAAGAAGAGGGAGAATGAAGAGGATGGCGAGGAGGAGGAGGAGGAGGAGGAGGAGGAGGAGGAGGAGGAGGGAGGAGGAGGAGGAGGATCAGTGTAAACCAACGAGTCATCAACGATGTTGGAATTAACCTTCCCTTCAAGTTTCCTCTTTGCATCTCTTCGCAAGCCCCTACAACGGTTCATTTCCATTGAAGGAACTGCCTCGTTCGAAGACACCCTGGAATACCCTGAAGCATGCCAAAACATTGTTCTCTGGATTTCAACGTCACAGATCAGCCTGTCTGCTGCGTCTTGACGATCCGGAATCGTGCCAGAACGCCATAGTTGGGACTTCAACACCGCGAGTCAACATAACTGTTGCACCTGCATAATCCTGAATCCTTCCAAATCACCATGTCTGGTGCGTTGATCATGGGAATCCGTGAAACCGTTTCAAGTGTTATGACCGAGTGTGCGCGGCGCTAAAGCGAGAACCACATGTTGAGAAGGAACCGCCCTCAATCCGTGAAGCTCCTGCAAATGTTTAAAACGAATGCGCGCAGCGCTAAGGCGAGAGCCACATTTTGAAAACCACCCGCCCTCACTCCGTGAAGCTCTTCATTTTTTAAACAAATGCGCGCGGGGCTAAAGCGAGAACCACATGTTGAACTCAACCCGTGAAACTCTTGCAAATGTTTAAAGCGAATGCGCATGGCGCTAAGGCGAGAGCCACATTTTGAAAACCATCCGCCCTCCACCTGTCAAACTGTTGCCACTGTTTAAGCTTCAGGGTCATAAATGGTGAGCAAGTCTCAGGCGAAACGCCCGGCCCGCTCTAAAAATTGGCCTCGGGGTGCGACAGGGAAAAAATAGTTATAAGAAAGAAAAATGGAGGAGGAGGAGGAGGAGGAGGAGAAGGAGGAGGAGGAGGAGGAGCAGGAGCAGGAGGAAGAGAAGGAAAGGGGGAGGAGGAGGAGGAAGAGGAGGAAGAGGAGGAGGAGAAGGGTGAAAAGGAGAGAAAAAAAGAAAAGGAGGGTGAGGAGGGGGAGGGTGGGGAGGAGGAGGGTGAGGAGGGGGAGGGCGGGGAGGAGGAGGAGGAGGAGGAGGAGGAGGAGGGTGAGGAGGATGAGCAGCAGCAACAGCAGCAGCAGCAGCAGCAGCCGGAGTCCCCCCGACCCTCCCCAGGCCTGCCCTCCTCTCCGCTCGGCCACTCCCTGCCCCCTCCTCCCAGCCTCCCTCCCCCCTGACGGGTCCGAGCACGAGCAGCGGCGCGAGGAACAGCCACGCCCTGCTCGGGCCCGTCGCCGCCACCTGGGAGGAGCACATGCGCAAAGTGGACCAGTGTTCCTCGTCCTCCTGCTCCTCCTGCTCTTGCTTCTGCTCCTCCTCCTCCAGGAGGGGAACCCTCCAGTCCACTTCCGCCTCCTCCTCCTCCTCCTCTTCATCCTCCTCCTCCATTCTTTTCCTTATGGATAACTCCTCCCTGTCGTACCCCGAGGCTGGTCGAAAGGGCGGACCGGGAATTTCGCCTGAGACTTTCTCACCATGTATGATCATGATGGTCAAAGGGCGGGTGTTTTTCAAAATGTGGTTTTCGCCTAGGCGCTGCGCACATTCGCTTTACAAATTGGAAGAGCTTCACGGATTGACGGCGTGTGGTTTTCAAACTGTGGCTCTCGCCCTGGCGCTGCGCACATTCGCTTTGAACAGTTTGCAGGGTTTCACTGATTGAGGGCGGGTGGTTCTAAACATGTGGCTCTCGCCTTCGCGCCGCCGACATCCATTAAAGAAATTGCAAGAGCTTCTAGGGCGAGTCTTTTTTCAAAATGTGGTTCTCGCCTTAGCACCGCGCGCATTCGTTGCAAAACATTGCAAGAGTTTCACGGATTGATGGCGGGCCGTTTTCAAAATGTGGCTATCGCCTTAGCGCCGCGTGCATTCATTCTAAATTGTAAACAGTTGCAAGAGCTACACATATTGAGGGCGGGCCGTTTTCAAAATGTGGCTCTCGCCTACGCACCGCGCACAATCGCTTTACACATCTGTAAGTAAGAGCTTCACGGATTCAGGGCGGTTCCTTTTCAAAAGATGGCTCTCGATTTAGCGCCGCGCATATGCGTTTTTAACCAGTTGCAAGAGTTTCTCTGGTTGACGTAGTTACCGTACCAGAAATGGCGATTTGGACAGATTCAGGACTGTCCGTTCGCAACAGTTGCGTTGACTCGCTGTGTTGAAATCCCAGGAACGGTGTTCTGACACGATTCAGGATTGTAACAGTCAGCTGAACCCGTGGCGTTGAAACCCTGAGATTGGTGTTTCGGTACGCTTCAAGATGTTCACACGGTTGTCCCCCTACGGGGCAATTTCCTCAATGGAAATGACCCCCTGTATGGGGTTTATGAAGAGGGATCTTGGAGGGAGGGCGTACTTCAACATCGTTGATGGGTCTTGGGTTTGCACTGGTCCTCCTCCTCCTCCTCCTCTTCCTCCTCCTTCTCCTCCTCCTCTCAAGGGAGGAGGCGAACCTCCTTTTCGTCGTCGCCGTTCTCCTGAGCCTTCTCGTGAGTGAACGTCCTCGTCCTCGTCATCGTCTTCATCCTTACCCTCCTCCGCCTCCACGCCCTCCCCTTCCTCCTGCTCCTCTTGTTGCCTCTCCTTCTTCTCCTCGTCCTCCTCTTCCTCCTCCTCCTCCTCGCCCAGCCTCGCCTCCTCCTCCTCCGCCGCATCCTCCTCCTCCTCCTCCTCAGCCTCCTCCATTCCTCCTCCTCCTCGCCGCGACTCCTCGCCCTTCCCATCCTCCTCCTCCTCCTCCTCCTCCTCCTCCTCCTGCTCCTCCTCTTCCCATCCTCCTCCTCCTTCTCCTCCTCCTCCTCCTCCTCGTCCGACGCCCATGGCAGGAATGTGAGGGTCGAGGGGATGCACAAAGAGACGAGAAACGGTAGGCTGCCAGAGGACGTGCCGTGGCGGCGCGCAGAAGTGGGCAGGGCAAACGTGGCAGGCCGACTGCTGCTACTACTACTACTACTCAGTCTTACGCCAGGGCGCGTGGACACATGCAACGTCTACAGGAAGCAAGGTTCCACTCGGATGTCTCGTGCACGTTGCTGTGCGCCAGCACCCGTGCGGCCCCTACCTGCAGCAATGCTGCCCATTACTTCTGCAGCCGTAGCCTTCCCACCACGACGTGAGAAATACGACGGGCGTTCCAATACCAATTTGGGGCCCTGGGGCCCTCACGGATCGATTCAGCCCGTGTCGAGTGCTCGGGTTGTGAATGTTGGGTGGCGTTGTGATCTTCTCACGACGTGGAATCTCGGGGCTCAGAAGGCACACGCCGTCTTCGAAGGGGCTGGCCCCTCCGAAAACTGGGCGCCCCACGCCTTCTTGCAAGCGGGAGGCCCTCTCCCGCCGCGCGGCGCAGAAGTTCGACTGGCCACAACTGGGAGAGTTGTGCCCACCGTGCCGATGACCCCTCGAGAGGGCTGCCGAAGCCGATGGCCCCACCCCGGGGGGGGCGGGTAATCAGGGACCACACGGCTCCCCAGGCTGCAGCTGCCCTGCCACGGAGGGACGGCAGGCAGCAGAGGCGCACGCTCCCGCAGGCCCGCTCGGACCCCGAGGATCGGCGCTGGGCCGCCCGTCCCTGCAGGCGGGGGTGCCCCTACGCGCCCACCCCCGGACTGTCTGTGCAGGGCTCCTCGGCCCCTGTCTGCGCAGCGGCCCCCTGCGCTGGAGGGCGCCTCCCCCTGCGCGCCGCCAGCAGATGCCCACGTGAGCCGCTGCTGCCCGAGCCCGACCCTGGGACCCCCTGGGGAGCGGTGGGCGTGGACACTCCCTGCCCGCAGGCGCGGGCAGATACGGCCAGGAACTGCTGGATACGGTCTCGGATGCAACTCCTGGGAGGTCAAATTCTGATTTCGCCCTGGTCCGAAATTCGGCTTCATCCGGCTGAATCCCGCTGAATCCCGCTTAATCTGGCTTAATCCCGCCTAATCCGAGGCCCACTGCGGCGCAACGGGGCTTAACTCTCCTTAATCCTTCCGACGACGACCTCCCAGGAGTTGCCCCCCAACAACCTGTAGTAAGGACGCGCTGCAAGGACGCAAGACCCTTGGACTGTCCTTGGACGCCCCAATTTTGTAGATTCTCCAGCGGCGCGCTGCGGAACAAGTCTCTAAAGACGCAAGGGTGCCCTTGGGAAGCTTACCCGTCCCTGCTGTGGATGTTCACTGCAGCGTGCCGCCACGGCGGGCCCAGCGGCACGCGGTGCCCTGCGAGTGGATAGCGTGTGGCTGCCCTCCGCCCGGCGGGAGGCTTGGCAGAGCTCGGGACGTTGACGCTTGGGGGTCGGGAAGTGGATAGCGTGTCGCAACGAAGCGTGGTGGGCCAGAACCGGCGGAACGACACGCTATCCCAAAGTTCCCGACCGTATCCATGTCCACCGCTCCTCGAGACACGACACCGACGCAGCGGACATGGACCCAGACATGTAATGGCTCGATTTTTGTCCATGCGCGTTCCCCAGAGTCCTGGCCCTTTCCCCAGGGCTGGTCCTCCCGACTCGCGTTCTGACGGTCCCGAAGCCTCGCGAGGGCCCCCGGAGGCCAAAAAATCTAACAACAAAACACTGCCGTCGTGATCTTCTTCACGACGCAAGCATCTGGGGATATACTCTGGCGCTGGATCTTTGGAGGCCTCCCAGATGGGGTCGGAGCAGATGTCGTCGGAGGATCGCGCCGCATCGTCGATGCATCATCGATGCACAAGCGACGTCGGCGTGGAGACGATCGGGATCCACATCGAGCCACATCGCCGATGCATCGGCGATGCGTCGGCAACGCGGCGCGACCCTCCGACCCCACCGAATCCGGACCCCATCTGGGGAAACCAAAAGGTACTGATACCGCTACTCCCTGGGCCCTGGACCTCTCCTGGGGTGCGTTCTGACCAGGATTTCGAGGCGAATCCAGCGGTGGCGACGAGGGCCGCCGAGGAGGCCCAAAAAGGGGAAAACGGGCTGGGGGGATAGAGGTATGGGTATCTTTTCCTCCTCTGACCATCTGTGGAATAACGAAAAACCGCGTAAACATACACTGTTGGAGGTCCGCGCGGATTTCTTTGGATCCGCGCTGGACCCCCCCGTCCCCAGCGCGCTGGAGGCGCGCCAGGGGGGCGGAGCCTCCAGCCTGCCGCCGGGGGGCCCGGCGCGGAGCCAAGAAATCCGCACGGAGCGCCAAAAGTTTATGTTTATGGCATCTTTTTGTTCTTCGAATCTGGGGATTTTTTCACAACCCAGGGATCCAAAGTATTGAACAAACCAAGACGGAGGTTTTTCTCAACTTTCGGCCTCTAGGGGCCCCAGGACCGTCAAAAAAACCATTCAGGATGAAAAACCAGTCCTGCATGGGGAAAGGGTCGAAACCTCCAAGGACCCCGCATGGAAAAAATCACAACATCGGATCTCTGGGAATCTGGGGATTTTTTCTCACAACGTCGCCAGATCGAGGTCTGGACCCCTTCTCTGGAGCCAGGTTTGCATCCTGCGTCGTCTTTTGACGGTCCTCGGGCCCGGCAAGGGCCTCCGGAGGCCGACGATAGCGAAGAACCTCCCGTCGTGATGTTTTCGCGACGCGAGGGGGTCTGGGATACGGACCCCATCTGGGGAGCCTGCAACTCTGGCGGTGGGTCTTGCGAGCCCCCGGCCGCCGGGTCCCCGGCGCCCGCCACGCTCGCGGCGCCAGCGTGCGCGTGCAGGCCGTCCGCGACGATGCTCGGGGCGGCCTCCTCCACGGTGTGGGCGCGCAAGCCTGCTACAGTGGAAACCCATGCCAAGAAACACCCTGCTCGCCTCCAGGGTGCCCTAGGTTTCTTGGGTTTCTACGGTTTCGCCATGGAAAGCGTGACGTTTCCCAGACCCCGATTCGAATCGATGGACGTCCTGGGGTCTCAGGGTTAGGTTTCTTGCGAAGATTTCTTGTGGTCGGGCCCCTTCTGTGGGCGATGACGCATGTAGGTGAACGACAGAAAAGAAACGGCGGGTCTTACGCGAGATGTCATAGCGGCCTTATGCGGCGGCCTACGCGGACCGCCAGCGCGGCACGATACATCTGGAGCCACGTGCGCCTGCGCGCGACCTTGCGCGGGCAGCCTGCGCGCCACAGCCCGTCTTCCTGCGTCGCTCGGGTGGCGGCGCCCGAGACCTGCCTCCACCAACCATCGGTTCTCTTGAATGAGGTGGGGGGTTAGGGTTCCCTTGTTCGCATCGTGTTCGGCGAGTTCCGAACCCTGCCCCCGCCGCCCATCGAGTGGCAGGGCGCGGAGTTCGCCGCCGACCTGCAGGGAGAACGCGCGCGTCAGCGCCTGCCGTCCAGGCGGCTTGCCCTCGCGCTTCGGGCCGCGCGAGGCGCAGGGGGCGCGCGTCGTGAGGAACGCACGGCGGAACATGCCTCGCAGACTTCGGCCTCTCTGGGGGCCCTTGCGGGGCCCTGGGGCCGTCAAGGGACGACCTGGGATTTGGAGGGTGAAAGAAGGGGTCTGCAACAGGGGGTTTTCCATGGGGGCTGAATGGCCCATGTATGCTCAATGTATCGCTCATGCATGTGATCGGGTACGATTGGCATCCAATGTTGGCGGCCATGGAGGGCCAGTCGTTCGTGCCCGCGCGTTGCCCGCGCGGGCAAACGCGCCGTCTATCCATTATCGTTCATGCGTGCGGGCATTCTTGCATATCGCGCGTGGGGCGGCGAAGTGGAGTGCAAGTGTGTCTTGATTGTGCGATTGATGATCGCGTATGTCCCCAAACGATGACTTGTCGACCCCCAGGACAGATTTGGAATGTGTCCCGCGATTCTCCCAAAATGTGAATTCACATTTTCCTTTGTTCACATTGTCATTTTCCCAAAATGTGAATTCAGATTCTGGCCCCTTCATACAAACTCCTATACAAAATTCCACCATGTGAATTCACATTTTGCCGTGGCCCTCAAGATCCTCAAAACTGATGCGCAGTGTTCCGCATGTCAAATTAGCTGGGCAGATTGTGACGCTCACCTCACTGCTTTCGTTTATTCAAACTTTTCCTTTTTGCGCCCTCAGCGCACGTCGCCTTCGGCGCCTTTCCCAGGCCCCCCGCCTCCTTGCTGCGTTTACCCTCAAGTCTCGCGTATGAGTGCAGGCCGGGAGCTTCAATTGGTTCCCCCGCCGACCACAGCGATCTAGGATGCATCGCCCATGCATGGCCCAAAGAGACACCATTGCCGAGACCCTGCGCCCGACCCCCACTTCCAACCTCCAAGGGATGCCAAGCCGGCCCTGAGCTGGGCGGGCGGTCCTGGGGGGTGACCCACAGGGGAGGGGAAGAGAACGGGCCCGAAAGGGGCCCTGGAGGACCCTGTTTGGAGACAGCAGATTACAGGCCTCGGAAAATAGCGAACACTCATGCCACATTCATCTGTCAACGCTTCCCCCTACCCCCAATGTTCAAAGTTGGCGGTGGGTCTGATGAGTTGCACCTCGACCGCAGTCTCCCCCGCGCGTGCCAACTTTGAGTTTGGGGGGCACGGGGGGTGTTCACTAATTGTTTCCCTCTAACCTATGCCCACCCGCCCAAATGGGGGGGAAATCGTCGGGACCTCCAGGGGCCGCGCGTCGAAAAAAACACGAGACGTCGCACGTCTGGGCGGGGAGCGGTCATCTCTGCGCCCTCGCGCCGCCCACCTGGAGAAGGGCGGCTCAGGTGGCCCTGGCCTCAGGTCGGGCGTGTCCCCCTGCAGGCGGATTTGGGGCGAAAAATAAAACACAGTCAGCAATTACTCAAATACACCCCAAATGAGTAACAACAAAAAACGTCCCCGGACTAGTTTTGAATTATTTTGGAGCGTCCCTCCTGTAGAGGGACATGGCCCGACTTCGCCCTGGCCGCGACGCGCGAAGCGCAGTGCTCCGCGCGCCTCGGCGCGTGGCCGGGGCCGCAGAGGGCGAGGCGGAGGCACGGGGCACCCCAGGGGCGCCACGGGACAGCAGGCACGCCACGACCGCCAGACCGCACACGAGGGACGCCGCGGTGCACCCGGCCTGCCTGACAGCGCCCCTGCTCTCCGACGGGGTGCCACGGCACAAAAGGACTCCAGTGCAGATCGTCTCCTCCTCCTCCTCCTCCTCCTCCTCCTCCTCCTCCTCCTCAATCCCTCCCCTCCCGCCCCGCAGAAATCGCCCCCCCCGCAGAGCCGGGGCTGCTGGCGGCGGCCGGCCCGCTGTCCCGCGCGGGTGGGCTCGGCGGTGCCGGCCCAGCGTCGGGGCATCCTGGGCCACGGGTGAGGATCTCGACGCCCCTGCCGTTCACGTCGCGCATCGTCTCCACCGTCACGTCCCCAGGCTTGCACTTCCAGTCCGAGGGGTCGATGTCAGCGGCGGAGGGCGCTGCAGCTGTCAGGTGCAGCGCTGCCATCATCACGAAGGAAGCGCGCGCCATGTTGTCGAAAAAGGGGGTCGGGCAGCACACTCTGAACGTTTTGGTCGTGTCCTGGGACAAAGAAGGCTCCAACCAAAACGGCAGTGAGTCCCGGGGTGCGAGCAAGTAGTCTAGCTGAGCACGAGACGTGATGAATTTATGCACGTAAGGAGCTTCATGCTGCGACTTTTACATATGGTCCTGCCCTTCACAATAGTTGAGCCAAAGCGAGATTCAAAATCTTGCATGCGCGCGTCATTCCCCAAGCAACGCTTGCACTTAGAACTTCTTCGCTTGGTTGGACAACGGCTCTGGTTGGCGAGAACTCCAGCGGTGGCCAGCCGTGCTCGGCAACATGCGACGTTACAATCCCTTCGCAGCAGCCCTTGAACTGACAATGGTTGGTGGGAGTTCGGCCAGTGGCAGGACATTCGCGGCAATGCGCGGTATTACGGTCCATGTATCAGACGGTAGTGTCCGACACGAAAGGGTCCAAACCGATACGACGTTGCACGGTGGAGTCCCACGCGTTAGTGCTCCCACACGATCGGGTCACATGCAATTGGGTAGGACCCATTAGTGTCATAGTGTTACGCCAGCTGGCTGTTTGGGCTAGAGGCGTTGGCATTTTTCTTGGATCGGATGTTGAGACGGTTTGGGCTGACGGCGATGTTGGGCTAACGGCGATGTTGGGAATCCGATGCTTGTGGCACCGAGCTCGCGCAGAACAAATGGTAGGAAATCACGAAACATCGTTTCCTACATTTCAAACATGCGAATGTATCGAGCGAAGAGACACAGCGAGTTCTAGGAAAACGCGAACCACGCGTTCCTACAATTGGTTTGGCCACGAACCACGCCTTCCTACAATTGGATGTCCTACTTCGCCGTTAGCTAAACACACCATGAGCGCGTCTACGGTGGGCCGAAGGGCCGGCCTCGACTCACAGTGGCAATGTTGCAACTTGTCTCGAGCGCTTCCAAGCCAGAGCTTCACGACCCAGAGCCACCTCGAAGGGAAAGCTGTTAAGGTGCGTGGCCGCAAATCTGGAATCGCGCTTGGCAGAACACACGAGGCGTCAAACATATTTCCGTAGCACCTCGCACTTTGCGGATAAGAGAAAGGGGGTGGGACAATCCGCCGACCCCGTCGGCGTGTGTGAAACGTGTTTACGTTTGAGTCGTCGTCACCGTCGCCGTTCTCCACCTTTCCTTGGGTCCTCCTTCTCGAGCGATCCAGCCAGACGGAAACAAGTGGCACGCGCGCCCTGGCTCTTGCACAAAGGAGCTGCGAAGGACTGGAGGCCCAGAGGGACGAACCACCACGAACCACGACGAAAATAAAGGATGTCCGCGGCCCAGGGGGGCTGCCCTGGGAAGCCTGGACGGAGGAAAGCTCACAAGGGGGGGGTGGCCCAGGGGAGCTGGGGCTCAGGCTCAGGGGGGGTCGAGGGGGACGAACCACCACGAACCACGACGAAAATAAAGGGTTCCACGGCCCAGGGGGGCTGCCCTGGGAAGCCTGGACGAAGGAAAGCTCACAAGGGGGGGTGGCCCAGGGGAGCTGGGGCTCAGGCTCAGGGGGGGGCCGAGGGGGACGAACCACATCACGACGAAAGGTTCGCGGCCCAGGGGGGCTGCCCTGGAAAGCCTGGACGGAGGGTCCCAAGGGGGGGTGGCCCAGGGGAGCTGGGGCTCAGGCTCAGGGGAGGGGCCGAGGGGGACGAACCACCACGAACCACGAACCACGACGAAAATAAGGATGTCCGCGGCCCAGGGGGGCTGTCCTGGGAAGCCTGGACGGAGCAAGCCTCCGAAGGGTGGGTGGCCCAGGGGAGCTGGGGCTCAGGCTCAGGGGAGGGGCCGAGGGGGACGAACCACCAAGAACCACGAACCACGACGAAAATAAAGATGTCCGAGCTCTAGAGCACAGCTGTGCAAGAGCCCCTTCCCTTTGATCCCTTCCCTGGCGGGGGGGGAGCGGGGGGGGGGGTTCTCGGGGGCGGGGGGGTAGCGGGGGTGGTCCGAAGGGGAGGGGAGCCCCTGCCCCTGAGGTCGTGACCTCCCCCGGGGGGGTCCCCCCGTAGTCCCCCCTGGGGGGTCCCCTTGGGGGGGTCACCTAGTGGACAGAGGAGACTCAGAACCCCTGTCCGCCCCCCCCCCCGTGGACAAGGGAACCACCATCCCCCTCCCTCCCAGAACCCTCACCAGAGGCACCCTCCTCCCCCTGGGCTCGATTTTGCTGTGGGGCGGCGGCGCCAGCCAAAAGGCCTTCCCAAGACTGCCCCCACGTGTTGCCCTCATGGGTTGCCCACGTGTGCTGCCCCCAGGACCTGCCGCCATATGATGCACCCGAGTGTCGCATCCAGGTGTTGCCACGAAGTGCTGCCCCCGAACTTTCTCCCCACGCATCACCCCGAGAGGCCAAGCCCTCCATCCAGCCACGCGCGCGCGCAGGGAAGCACTGAGACCGTTCGAGGGCCCTCACTCCGATGCATCTGTATCCTGCTCGCGTGCGTGCGTGGAAGCGGGTGTACAGGAAAGAGCCAGCCCGCACCAGAGAAGAACAAGTATCACTCGAGCATTGTGAACATACCAGCTTTTCATCATCCTGTGATCTCCACGAGAAGCTCGTAAACTCTGAACTGCCAATGCCTCTTCGTTGCTTTCTTGCCTGAGCGCGCGGCGGCGCCTGCGCACGCGCCCGCGGGAACCGCGCCCGACCGCCTGACCTTCAAATCCGCGCAGCTACACGCGCCTGGGCGCGGCGCAGGAGCGCACGCAGGCGCACGACGCGGCCACCTCCACGTCGGCGTGCCGGCCCGCCGCCTCGAGCCTTCTCTCCATCGACGGCGCGTCCTCTTCGGCCCCTGCGCGCTCCGCCCCCGCCTCGAGGCACTTCGCCAGCCCCCGCAGCGACCACAGGTTCTCCGGGTGCCTGTTGTGGCGCCCGGCGCCCCCTGCCGCTCCGCCAGCCGAGCCGGCGCCGCCGCCGAAGCCGCTCATGTCGCTGCGGTAGACCGCCGCGGCCTCGCCAGCGCGGCCCTGCTCCAGCAGCAGCCCACCGAGGGCGTGGCGCGCCGGCACCGTCCAGCCCCAAGGCTCGTCGTAGTTCAGCGCGTCCTCGAGGGCGGCAGCTTCCCTCAGCGCCTCGAGGCCTGCCTCCACCAGGGGCTCGGACCCGCCGTCGCCGGCCTCCTGCAAGAGCCGCCCCTTGCGGTACAGCACCTCTCCTGCGGCCACCTTCTTGGCAACCTCGAGGGTCGCCGGGACAGTGTTGTTGTGCAGGACCCGCGTCACGCGGGCCTTCTCGCCCTCCATGACGCCCGCGGCATCGTGGAGCTTGTTCAGCTCAGCATCCGCATCGTCCACTCGGCCGAGAGCGGCGAATGCCACGGTGCGCGCGTACCGCAACGTCGCGGTCGTCGCCGCCCACAGCTCCGGGTCCGCCGGGAAGGCCAACGCCAGGATCTCCTCCCATCGGCCAAAGCGCACCAGCACGTGGGCCTCCGTGGCGTGGTACGCCTCCATCGGCGCCGCCATGCCCTCCATGCGAAGCGTGCTCTCGGGGCAGACGTCCACTATCTGGCGGGCGAAGGACAGCGCCTGCCCCTCGTTGCCTGCAAACATCGCCGCGTAGACCAGCATGTGATAGTCATGGACAGTGTACCCGATGTAGAAGGTCGTCCCGGCGACCCTGCTGCCGTTTCCGTCGCCGTATCTTGTATACAACTTCGTGTTCGCTCTGACTGCAGCAACATTGGACCTGACAGCATCTCCGTACCGCCCGAGAAGCATGTAGATGTGCGAGGGCATGTGCAGTAGGTGTGGCGCGTCGGGCGCATAGGGCTCCAGGAGCAGGGCGCACGCACCCAGTGCCTGCTCCGGCGTTGGCGACATCTCCATGAGGTGGATGAGGAGGTGGTTCGCCCCCGGGTGCCGGGGCGACAGCCGCAGTGCCCTTTCCAGCGCGCCGCGGATCTCCTCGACCTGGGCTGCGGGAACGTAGGTGCTCTCGCTGAAGAGCTTCCAGGGGGCGATGGTCATGAGGGCCTCGGCGAGCACGACCGCGACGTCGGGGTCGTCGGGGAAGCGCAGGCTGACGCCGCGCATGGCCTCCGCGAACCTGGCATTCAGCTGGTGCAGCGGCTCCTTGCCACCCTCCAGTGGCCAGGCGCAGCGGCACTGCAGCGCCTCGATCAGCGCGACCTCGGCCGGCTGGGCGCCGGAGGACTCAGCGAGGTCGCGGGCCAGCTGGGAGTGCTTCGCGGCGGCCTCCATGGAGGGGTAGCCGGGGCTGGCACACATCGCCTCGTAGTAGTTGTCCACGTGGACGTTGTAGTCTGGCCCATGCGCGAAGGCGATGCCGAAGTGGGCCATGGCACAGCTGGGGTCCTCCTTGAGACACTGCTCGAAGCACCATATGGACTCCTCGTGGTGGAAACTGTTGCACCACACCATGCCTCGATTAAACCACCGCTGGGCCTCGGGCGAGGTGCAGGTCACGCCCCGGTGGTAGTCTCCGAGCTCGAACGGGTAGTCCGACGTCGCTGACGCCATCGCCGCGGCGGCAGCCTCGCCCGAAATGGACCATCCACCGACGAGGCCCTTCCGAAACCCAAGTGGAAACGCTTGAGCCAAAACGGGCACGGAGACACAACAATGAACCATTATCTGGACGCGCTTGTCTCCTCAGAACGCATTATCACGAAACCAGATCTGACCTGAAGCCCAAGCGACCGAGAGAGAGAGAGAGAGACAAAAGAGAGAGAGAGAGAGAGAGCTAGAGCGTGAACTATTAGTGCTGAAACAGAAGGAGAGGGATTGAGAGAGGAGGCTAGTAAGCCAACGCATTCGAGGACAAAATCATAGCGGAACGAACCCAGATGGCTCATCGCACTCAGTCTCACCATGGAGTCCTACCTGACGGGGGTCCCAGCTGCCCAAGCCCCATCGAGCCTCCCATCCCCGCCCCCTTCCCCTGCCTCACCTCCCTGCTCCCTCGCCCAGCCCTTCTTCTGCCGGCTGACCCCCTGAGTGTCCCCCGCACGCGGGTGAGTGCTATCCGAGAGCAGATGTCCCCGAACGGCGACTGTCTCCAAACGTCCATCTCTCCATTTCGACCGGGGGCAGGGCCAATCGTCGCCGAAACAAGCTGTGTCTGGGTAGAACGTGCGCTTTGACCTACTAACAGGAAGCCTGGGGGACCAATCGGAGGCGCCCTGCGCCCGAGCCTTGTGGTCGGCCTCCTCGACGTGCTGAGCGAGCCGGCTCGCAAGCGCCAGCGCCCCGAACTGCTGAGCGTCCAGAGTGCCCCTCGTGTTCAGCACCTTGGCAGGTCTCGTCGGCGCCGTCATCCCGATTCGCGACGATGGGGTGAGTGCGGTGCCCTGGCTGCACTGCTAGCGGACCACAACGCTCGGTCACTGAAACAAGGTGGCTGTGATGAGGTCGCACCCGCGCAAACGATGTGAACGCAGGCAGATATATACACATACACATACGCGCATTCACATACACGTTTACACAGGCATGCGTCCGCACACGTTGCGCATCGAAATGTTCACATGAGTCGATGCGCAATCACGTACTCATGCACATATGCACATTTTCCTGAAGGCGTTCGGAGGAAAACACGGTTGAGGGGGCACAGGACCGCAGGCCGAGCAAATTGCTCACTGCGCGGCGTGCATGTTGCACAATTAGCCGCGCGCGTGCATGACAGGAGGACGACGAAAACGACGACGAGCCCAGGAGTAGGACGACGACGAGGCCTGGCGCAGCCTTGCCCTAGTAGACAAAGACAACATACTGATAGTACGTATGTCTGTATGTATGTATGTACGTACGTTCGTACGTTCGTCTGTATGCCTGTATGTCTGTATGTCTGCATGTCTGTATGTCTGTATGTCTGTATGCATGGAGGTAGGTTGGTAGGTAGGTAGGTAGGTACGTAGTTTGGTATATGAACATATACATATATATAAAAACATACTCTCTGTGTATACATATATGCATGTATGGTGTGCGCCTGCTGTAACGAAAGCGCAACGCATTTGAGTCTGGAGAGGGACAAGAACAAGGAGTCTCCGTGCCAGCTCTGGTAGCCTGAGGGGCAGACGTGCATGTAGCGAGTAAGACAAGTGCATCCGGTGGAACACGTGCACAGGGGGCCGCTCACGCATCCAACGAATCCCGCCATCTCAAATGAGGTCGTCGTATAGATCTTTTGGCTTCTGTCCGGAACCATAGCGTCCAGTTCAGCTGCCGTTTGCTCCATTCGTTCTTTGCGCTGAAGAAGATGTGGGCTGCGCATCTGAGTCGGAGCACGCAAAATCCGAGTATATTCCCCCAAACAGTGCTTGCACTTAGGGGTTCTTATTTCTCTTCGAAGGAACTGGATCTGTCTGGCGGTTTGACGGCTCCGTGCTCGCCGTCGCAGCCCCATCGCCGCCCATCGTCTGGGCCAGTCTGGCGGTCTGAAGGTTCCGTGCTCGCCGTCGCCGCCCCGTCGCGGCCTCGTCGCCGCCCGCTGTCTGGGCCTGGATGGCGATCTGGCGGCTATGTGTTCGCCGTCGCCGCCCCATCGCCGCATTGATTGCTCCACATAGATTCTTCGCTTTAGATTCTTCGCTTTAGAAGAATATTAGGATCTACCTCCCCCCCTGGACTGAACGGTCCGTCGCTTCGTGTTACAGTGTGTTCACGATTGTGCCCCATCGCTCATTCCAAATTTAAATTAATACAAGAACCATCGCGCGCACTTCGCGAGCGCTTAGGTTCTAGCTGGTCGAGTGCTGACCGCATTGAGACAACAAGGCGGTCATGAATAATGAAATCAACGTTCTCTGTTTCCTCCCGTCTCTTCCTCATGTCTCCTCCTCCGCTTTCATCGGCCGGTCGACTGGCGATCTGTCGCCAAGTTTCTTGGGGACCTCTTGACCCATCCTGGGGGCCTCCTGGGGCGAAGATCTCGGGTTCTCGGTTCACGTCCTCGATAGCGGTCTTCGGCCCATCCCGCCACAGCGCCTGGGTTGTTAGTTAGAGGCCCCTTGGAAGTTCGTTTGGGATTCGTGCCGTCTTGGGGCGCTCGTGGGCCGTCTTGGGGCTCTCTTGCGCCGAAGTGGCGCCCTCTTTGGGTGCATCTTGGGCCGTGTTGAGCTGATTTCTAGGGCCTCGTGGGTTGTCTTTTGTTGTTGTTTTTCTTCTCGCCATTCTATACGATACCGAATGTTGTCGCTCCAACTTGCCGCCTGGGGGCCTCTAGGGTCCTCTTTGCAGCAGACACCGTGACAGACAAAGGAGGGCGTACCGCCCAAAAGTCAGCGAGCCGCTGCCCCGCGCAGCCAGCTGACCATCGGCAGCAAGACCACTCGGCGCTAGGTAAAGGAAGCAAGCTGCAGTATGCCCCAGATCCGTCGGCACTCTTGGTGCCTGCGAGCCTGAGTGCGAAGCCGTGCTTCAAAGTGTTGGTCGGGGAGACCAGGCAGAGAGAGACGGAAGGCATGGTGTGCGGCTAGGAATGCGTCACATAGCACAGCAACAAGCAGGTTTTGGTCGGGCCCCACATTCCGAAAAAGGAGGAAGGAAGGAAGCCAGGGCGAGCCCTCAGGAGACCTCGGAGTCCAAATGCCCATCCAACGCCCAAAGAGATCCCGAAGACGAGGACATGTGAGGTAATGTTTCATATCGTCAAGGTCGCGGTTCACGTCGTGGCATCCCATGAGGCAACCTTTCGGAGCAGAATGAAACCGAGAACTCGCGCAGACAGTTCGGGCAAGCAATCGAAGGACCGCAAGCGGAAGGTACATGTTAGTACGTGTAGATAAGGGCTTGAGACATTTCAACGCACGAGCAACGTCCAGAAGCTGAACACCAGGAATCCAGTTCCTCATGCGCCTCAGAAGGGCCAGGACAGGGGGGGTCGGCGGGACGGTGATACAGCTTGAGCTTAGCCATGTATTGTTTCTGCACATCAGGACGTTCAGAAAGGATCGCGAGGTTCAGGGAGGAAATCCAGTCGCTAAAGTCGAAGAGGCGGGAAAGGAAGGAGGCGGGAACTCACCCGCGAACACGTCGAGCGGGGCGCCAATCATCATCATCGAAGATGGCAAGATACTGGGCACGGATCTGCGGGAGAGCATCGCACCTGGCAGTGTAACGAGCCCTCGTCGTTTCTGCAATCAGCGCGAAGAACGGGAACTCCCAGGGAAGACCAAGTTGCGTGAGATGAATACACATGTTGTGCGAGATTGAATTGTAGGGACTTGCGGCAAGCAGTGTGACACGCGAGCGATGGGCCTTCAGGAGAGACGGATGGCGAATAGAGCTGCACAGTGAAGTACAGAAGAGAGGTACAGAAGGCGCGAAAGAGAACGATAAACTGAGCAAGACCCACTCCCAACTCCCGAATTTCCCTCGCCCTCTTCAAAAGCACTCCCCCCCCGAGCCGCATCTCCGGCATGGTCCCCAATCCAAATCCCCAAGTACTTAACTCTCATAGCCAGCTCGATGAGCGGGAACGGCTGGCCCAGATCGGCGAGCAGATATGCAAGCGGGTCCCGGGGCTGTTCCCATGCAAAAGCAATCTGACACTTGGCAAAGTTCAGTGCGAGACCTATGGCGGAGCGAAGACAGGCGAGGCACCGAAAAAGCGGCTCGACCCCGCAGATCAATCCAAAGCAGACAGAGCAATCCAAAGCAGAGATCATCCGCATACGCCAGGGACAGTTCAACATGTTGAGGCAGCTCAAATTGGATCCATGCTACGATGGGCTCAATAGCCCGGGCGAATAATGACGTAGACATCGGGTACCCTTGCCTCGCGCCCCGATCAATCCGAGTTTCGTCGCGGGATAGCGCGGCCGTCGGCATGCGCCAGCCAATCGTCATCGCGCCGCATGGGTTCTGCAAACCGAGTGGCGGGTGGGCGGGTAGGGTGGTTGCGCGAGCAGCTCTGCAGAATGCACTATGCGCGCGCGCTCGTTTAGCGAAAAACATATAAGACGCCATGCCAAAACCGAGGCGAAGCGCGCGCATTCGGAAAT